AATTAGAAACTACTAGCAATTTTTAAATAACTAAAGGCACCAAAAATATATATACATGTATATGCATGTGTACCTAGTTACAAAATATTAGCATAGGTTATATCGGGGCAATGAGATATCAAGTGATGCTGAGTTTCTTAATTGCTTTCTTACCTTTTAAAGATTTTATAATAAATATTTAGCACTTTATAATATGAAAAAAAGTATTTCAATATTATAGGAAAAAACTGCAAGAATCTAGGGGGTGTGCAGATGGTTGAATGATCAGAAGCCTCTGCTCATGGAACTCTAACATTCTTGTATGGTTGAGATCCTCTCTTGTTTTACTTTTGTATTGATTCTTTTTTATGCCCCTTCTACACTTCAGCTCTCCCCCATGAGAAACTGCTCTAATATATTCAACATGTATCTTTCATCTGGGTATACACTTATAAAGTACATAGTGCTATTTTGTAGCATATATTTTTTATTTACATATATTCTATGACATACCTCTTTCCCCTAAGAGACTCTAACCCCCACATAAGCCATGAGAGTTAATTTATATTTGTAGTTCTATAGCAAAATATGGAGCTTAGCATAGAGGAAAACAGAATATAAATATTTGTTGAACTGAACTGAAATTTTACTCTCTTTTTTTAAAATCTTGCCTTTCCTATGCTTCAGTGATACTTCCTTCTCCTGGTTTCCCTCCTGCCTCTCAGTCTCCTTCCAAGGCTCCTCCTTCTTCTCATTCCTAATTACAGGCACTACCTAAGGCTAAGGCTTAGTGCCTGTCTCTCGCTTGTTGTCAATCTACCTGACCCCTACAATTAGTCTCATCCACATGCATGGCTTTTATGATCATTTTGGCATAGGTATTTTCCAAACCTATCTCTAGCCTTCATTTATTCAACAAGCTGTAGACTTACATGCTCATCTGACAGCTGAAAAGTCCTTCAGCCTTCTCTCCCTCAACATGAAGTCACCTTTACCCCCACCCAAGTCTCTACTTTCTCCTTTGTCCCCTCTCACAGGAACAGAGGTTAGTGTTCTTCTAGTATCTCCTTCTCACCTTTAATAGAACTCCCCCTCCTCTTTTGCTCTGTATGTGGGATAACCAGATCCATTTCTACCTTACGGATAAAACTACTAACTCATAGCCAGGGGCAATGGTAGGTGCTGAGAAGGTAAGGGTGAGAAAGGTATATCAGTTTCTGAGTCTTAGGAGACAGACAGTAGACCAATAAATAAGCATTATGTTGCAAAGTGTGATCAATGGTATGAAGGAAATAAGTAGGGTGATGTGGATAATTTCAGGTCAGGAAAAGCATCTCTATAGGATGAGAAGGGAGCCTCTCATAAAAAGACCCATGGGAAGAGCAAACAACCCAGGTTCAAGGGTCATCAGGTACCAAGGCTGTAGGGAGAGAAAGAGCTTCACATGTCCAAATACCAGAAATGAGAACTTTGTGATAGACCTTATTGAGAAGGGAGTGACCATAACTGATTAGGGTAAGGGGTGGCCAGAGGCCAGATCGTGAAGAGCCTTGGAGATCATTCAAGCCATTTGGATTTTATTCTAAGTATGATGGGAAGTCAAATGCTAGCATTTAAGCAGGCCAGGGATCCGATCTGAATTATGCTTTTAAAAGTTCACGGATGCCTGAAGAATGAATTATGAGGAAGAGGGGGCAAAAGGTGGAGCAGGGACGGAAGTTCAAAGCTTTTGCACTAGACCAGGTAAGAGGTAGTAGCAGCTTGGACTATAGGATGGCAGTGACTATGGTGACAAACGGACCAATACGAGACATATGTTGGAGACAAACCTTGTAGAACTTGCTGATAGATGGGATATGGAGATGAGAGAAAAGGAGGAATTAAGAATGACTCAAGGTTTCGAGTGTAAGCAACTATGTGGGTGATAATGCCATTTCATGATTGGGGACTTAGAAGGAGGAACGGAGCCAGCTGGCAGTGGATACAGCAGAGAATTAAGAGTTTTGTTTTAGACATGCTAAATTTAAGATGCCAATGAGATATCCTGGTAGAGATGTCAAGCTGACAGATATAACAACCTGGAGATCCACGGGGAGAGCTCTGGAATGGAGATCCATTCAGAAGGCATCATTATAGAGATGTGTTTATGCCGTGGGAGTACACAGATGAAGGGAACACAATCAATGAGATAGGAAGGGAGAGAAAGGAAGGGAAAGGAAAAGAAGAAGAGGGCCCATAACCAGGTTCTTCATCACTTGGAAGTCCTGTCTAAAAGGATGAGCCAGGGGCGCCTGGGTGGCTCAGTCGGTTAAGCGTCCGACTTCAGCCAGGTCACGATCTCGCAGTCCGGGAGTTCGAGCCCCGCGTCGGGCTCTGGGCTGATGGCTCGGAGCCTGGAGCCTGTTTCCGATTCTGTGTCTCCCTCTCTCTCTGCCCCTCCCCCGTTCATGCTCTGTCTCTCTCTGTCCCCAAAATAAATAAACGTTGAAAAATATATATATAAATAAATAAATAAAAGGATGAGCCAGCAGGGGTGCCTGGGTGGCTCAGTCGGTTAAACATCTGGCTCTTGATTTCGGCTCAGGTCATGATCTCACGGTACTGAGATCGAGCCCCACGTTGTGCTCCATGCTGGGCATGGAGGCTGCTTGATAGTCTCTCCCCCTCTCTCCCTCTGCCTTTTTCTGTCTCTGTCCCTTTCTCCCTCTCCCTCTAAAATTAAATAAATAAATAAATAAATAAATAAATAAATAAATAAAAGGGTGAGCCAGCAAATTTGCATGAGAAGCAGAGACTGGTGATATAGAAAAAAACATCCAGGAGAGTATGAATGTTATAAAACTAAGAAAGAAGAGTGTTTTGTGAAGAAGGGAGGAGTGAAATATGCCAGATGTTACCAAAAGACCAAGATAAGGCCAGAAACCCACCCGCCCGGTGTAGGATAATAAAAATTAAAGAGTAATTTTGGCAAAGCAAGGTTGTGGGCCAGACTGGAGCAAACTGAGTACTGATCTGTAGTTGTCGGTGAAGAAATGGACCCAGCATGCATAGACAATGCTTTGGAGAAGTTTTATGATAAATAAGGCTATAGGGAGAGAGGAATATAGCATCAGTTGAAGCTTTTGTGAAGATGGGGAATAATAGGGGTGCCTGGGTGGCTCAGTCGGTTGAGCCCCCGACTTCGGCTCAGGTCATGATCTCACAGTTAGTGAGTTCAAGCCCCGCGTGGGGCTCTGTGCTGACAGCTCGGAGCCTGGAGGCTGCTTCGGATTCTGTGTCTCCCTCTCTCTCTGCCCCTCTCCCACTCATGTGTTTTCTCTCTCTCTGTCTCAAAAATAAATAAACATTAAAAACAATTTTTTTTAAAGAGGGGGAATAATAGAGCACATCTGTGTGCTGGTGGGAATGAATATGAAAGAGGGGGAGACAGATGGTACAGGAGAGAGAAGGAGCAATGAAGGAGAAACACCCTTCAGAAGAGCAGAGGGGAGGCGCTGGCCTTTGGTAAGGGGGACTTTTTACATCCCAGGAGGAGGAAGGATGGATCCAACGATAACAGACACAGGTGCATGTGTAGACCTAACTAACGGTTGGGAGGAGAAAGAGTTCTCTGTCAATGGTTTCCATTTGTCAATGAAAAGCGGTGGGAGATCGCCAACCATGATGGAGAGTGGGAGAGAGGGGGAAGAAACGGGGGCAGGAGGCTGTCGAGAAGCAAGCATGAAGTCCTCCCGTGTGGTTTCTACGTTCTTTCCGCTACCAGTGCAGCAGCCCGAGTTCGCGCCATCGTAGTCTGCACCTCTACCGTCACAGTGCTCTCCAAACTGATCTCCCTTGCCCAGCACCCCCACCTCCACCACCCCAACCCTTTATCTATCCACCCTTCAGAGGGATCCCGCAGACCACAAATCTACTGTGGCGTGGGAAGCTTCAACGGGCTTGTTTTACACAACCCTCTACCTCCTCATCTAGGCGCGCAGAATTCCCCATCCCTGATCCAACTTACTCTGCACACTGACACCACGCATCCCTTCCCCCCCATCTTTGCAGAACCACTGCGGCAACAGCTCTTCTCGAATGCTACGAAAATCTCGCGCTGAGGTCTTTGTTCAAGCTCTTTTTTTTTTTTTTTTTTTTTTCTGCCTGGCATGCCTTCCTCCCTCTTGCGGAATTCCTAGCCATTTCTGAAGATCCAACCCAAACCCCACTGATGTCAAGAAACTTGTTCCTTTAAAACTTATTCCCTTGAAACTTATTATAATAGATCGAAGCCTGTCTTGTATCATAAGCAAATATTTACACATGTGTATTTGTCTCTATGTGTGCTTGCATCTGTCTTCAAGGAAGGAACAAAGGGAAGGAGAGAGGCACGGGAGGGGCAGGAAGGAGAAAAGAGGAAGAAAAGTGGACCCCTGCTGGGAAAGAGGAAAGGTGCCTCCTGGACTCCTGTTGGTTCACCACCACCAACCCGCCCGCCCCCCTCCAACACACACGCTGGCTTAAATAAAACTGCTCAACAGTGCTTCCCAAGAGCTGCAAAAGCCCCAGCCAGCCCCTGCTCACTGACTTACTGCAGGCATCCTGGGCTGGCACATCCCTTCCCCCTGTCCTTGGGTTCCTCGCCTCCTTTCTTCCCCCCGTGCCTCCATCTTAGATGCCCAGTAATTGCACCAAATCCTAAGAAGCAGCTCCAGCTCTGAAAAGAGCAGTGGGAGGAATTGAGAGAAATAGGGCAGAGAAATGAAAATGTAATGTTGAAAAATTCATGCTAAAGGAAGCACGTGCTCCCCTCCCCTCCTCTGCATGCCATCTGATAAAATTCTGGCAGAGGCCTTGCTTTCCAGGCACATGCAGGGACCATGAGAGGCTGGGCCAAGTCTCTCTGAGGTGACGGAGATATCACTGGTGAGCCGGAGCGTCCACGTGCGTGCAGGAGGAGAGCAGCGCTTTGCTTCTGGGGGCCTGGGCTGCTGACAGGGGTAGGGGAGGCAAGAGGACAGGGGTGGGAGGCATGTCCTCAAGATCTGCCGCTGTAACGCCACCTCCTCCTCTCCTTTTCAGAAGGAATTCTGAAAAACCAGCACGACCCTGGGCCTGGGCGAGTGGCTGCCCCCCCCCCCCCCTTCCTGCTCCACTTGATTGAGCACTGTTTGCTCTGAGCCTGGGGCAGGAGAGTTGAGGCGGCCGGTCTCCAGTTGCCTGAAAAAGCCCGATCTCGTTCCCAACCCCGGTCTCTCACTCCCCTCGCAAAGCACTGCAGAGCTGCGGCCTGATTAATGCGGTGCGCTGATATATACAGGAGATGGGCTCGCGATTCCCGGCAAGCGGTCCCTGCGCCCCTGCGGAGAGGCGGCTCCGACTGCTCGACTGCGACCCCTGGCGGCCGGCGGAGAAACTCTCCGCAGAGCTTCAAAAGCGAACGGGCCGCTGGACAGAAAGCAAAGGGAGGATTTTAAAAGAAACTGGGGTAAGAAATATGCACCCCCAGATGGTGCAGGGCCAGGGGGTGGAGAAAGGAAGGAAAGCCAATTTTGCTTACTTATAATCTAAACAAGAAGGAAGGGAACAATCTGTCAGGGACGGTGGGGGCTGCTGGAGGGGAGAAGGTGGAAATGTAAAAATCTGTTTATAGTTGGAACGGAATCTGTTTAATATGATGCTTACACAAAATAAGACTTATAAGTTTTTCCCTGCTTTGAACTCTGCTTCCTCCATCTTCATTTTAACTAGCAGCGGGCTCTGATCCGATTTCCTCTTTCATACTCCCAAACCGGCTGCCTATTAGAAGAGGCACCTATCTATTCAGGGAAATGAAACATACTTGGGCTTCCTCCAGTGCCTTCAGTGAGCCTGAGTCACAAGAGCCAATATAAGATAGGAGTTAAGAGCCTGAACACTTGAGACACAATGTAAATCCAGTGTATGTCACGCAGTGCGTGACCTTGAGCACTTTGCTCGACCTCTCTGAACCTCTATTCTTTCTTGCCTAGAAAACAGAGTATAAGCAAAATGCACCTCCAGGGTTGTGACCATAAAGAGGCAGTAGTGCCTGAGGCGCTCTTGTCCTGGCCTCTCTCTCCAGGACAGAGGAACTGCCTGATGCTGCTACTGCATTCTCTTCCTGAGCAGGACTCCTTTGGGACATGACTATGATACATGCAGTTCAAGAATAGGCCAAGCGCCTGTGAAAAAGGGATGAATCCTTGCTCACTTTCCCTGAGTCCTTCCCTTTCTTTCCCATCAGTTCACACAGCCCATGCCCGAACATGCGAGCAGACCAGGCAGCACCCACAAAATGGTAGGTGTGGGTGTAGGTGTGTTTGGTGTGCAAAGAGCTTCTTGGCACGGAGCTGCTCTTAGCTTGGGATGGAGCCTGATGCTTTCCGTCAGTTCTTAAAGGCTGTGCATCAATGTCCTTCTCCATGGTGTTAGCATTGCAAACATTCAATGGTCTGATATGCAGTGTTCTCCACCAGGGGCTGGCATGATGAAGAGGTTCTCTAAGGGGCCCCTGCTCCTAAGGAGCATAGTCTAGTTGGAAAGGTGTGATGTACACATAGGAAAAACTAAGTAATAAATCATGATTATAAATGGCACGTGTGAAGGATCAAATGAGGAGCCCACTAGCACTATAGGAAATCAGAGAATGAAAGCTGATTCAGATCCAAGCTGAGGGCCCAAGGGGTGCCTGGGTGGCTCAGTGGGTTGAGCATCTGACTCTTAATCTGAGTTCAGGTCATGATCCCAGTGTCATGGGATCGAGCCCTGCATCGGGCTCTGCACTGAGGGTGGAGCCTGCTTAAGATTCTCTGTATCTCTCCCTCTGCTCCTCCCCCTGCCAGCTCTCTCTCTCTGCAAAACAAACAAACAAACAAAACCCAACAACAACAACAAAAACCCCCAAATAAACAACAACAACAAAAACTTGAGGGCCCAAGAACTACAGAAAGTATCTTGGTCTTTGATGGTGGTGGGCAAGCTCTTCTTTCTAATCAGGATGTCTCACTAGAAGGGTACATCATAGGGCATACCATCTTCAGTGAGGAAGAACCACTTCCTTTTCTATATCACTATCCAACCTCTGATAGTCCTGAAGATGCTGGGCCATCTCCAGCCCCATGACATTGGGCTTGTCTCGGGACATGACTCACTTCCAAAGACTCCACGTCTGAGAGTGTGCCTGCTCCGTGCCCATCTTCTGGAGGACAAAACGACGTTGCAAATAAATTCCTACGCATGAGCAAGAGGAAAGAAGAAAGGTACATAGTTACTCATGATTCCTTATCTGTTCACTCATCAGTTCACTTACATAACATCCATCCATCCATTTATCCATTCAGTCTTTCCTGCATACACTAAGTATTATATTTAGCAATTGTTGTATGCCCCGCACTGTGTCCTGTGCCATGAGTACAAAATAATGATGCATTTCCTTTCCTCCTACCCTGATCGAGATCCTATATCACCCTACTCAATTTGAAAGGATCTCGTCTTCTGTCCCACCGCATCTGAGGGACCAGATGTACTATGAGATTCATGCGGCTCATTCTGTTGCAGTAACAGGGCCCTGATAAACACGGATCCCACCACTCTGGTCAACAAACTGTCATACGGAATCTAATAGTTTAGATTTTACTGATCCACCCACCCACTTCCTGAAGGGACAAGGAAGAAGAGAACTCAATGTACTGACCCCTTAGGATGGGATACAAATAACATCAAGCCTTTGCCTCACACTAGGTCTCTGATGACTGACGCACAAGCTGGTTCTAATTTGACCCTCGCAAGTGCCTGCCTCCCTGGGGTGTTCACCTGAAATCATTCCAGTAGCCTTTTCTCCTTGCTGGCTGCCTCTCACTCCCATCCCCTGCCTTCATGGGATTTGTGACAATCCGTGCTCTTTAAAAAATTTGCTGGAGTGTATTTGTATGTCTTTAGTGGTGGCGGAATGCTGTATAATTATCTCCCAATTCATCAGGCTCTTTAACAGGCAAATGCCTTTTTTTCCAATAAGTTTTTCTGGCTGAGGCACCAATAGGCCTTGTTGCTACGGAAACCAGAACGTTTCTTCCTCTATTTGAATTGTGTGTTGAAAGCTCTGTGTGTATGTGCATGCACACATATGGTAGCTGCTCGCTTTTACAGCTCTTTTCCCCTTTCCTACCTCCATGGACCTGTCTGGCATTTTCCCTACATCCCCTGTTTCCGAAAGTTCCCCCCTCGTCCACAGCCCCTGCGTGTCCCCTTCCTGCCTTTCACTGTGCCCCCACCTCCCCCTCCCCTTCCATCTGGTGCTCTCGGCTGTTTAAAAAGAAATACCAGTTGGCTTGCATTAAATCTAAGAGAGAGAGGGAGATAAAGGGTAATTGTGGAAACAGAGCTTTGCAAAAGCCTTTGACCATCCAGGTGTTTCCTGCTGGAAGGCTCGTGGCCACACTTGGCCATCTCCTAGAACGCGGGCTTCTTCAGAGGAGGAGGACAGGGGTATGGAGAGAGCACCGCTCAGTGCAGGAGAGCAGGGAGACCACAGCCCAGCAGCTCCATCTGCCTGCCTCTGCTCTTGGGCACGGACAAACATGCCTCCACCCAAGTCACTGGGTTTGATTCAAGGACTGTTGGACGACGGGAGGCCTCCATTGGAATCCATTTCTTTATTCATTTAGTCAACAAGCATTTACTCAACACGTAGTATATGCCAGGTACTGTTTTAGGCACTGGGGATGTGCCCATGGCCCCTGTCCTCAAGAAGCAACACTTGCTCACAGATAATTAAGACAACACGGTAAGTGGGACGCCTGGGTGGCTAGGTAGTTAAGCGTTGGACTCTTGGACTCTTGATTTTGGCTCAGGTCATGATGGTTCCTGAGTTCAAGCCCCACATTGGCCCCGCCCTTGCACTGGGCTTGCCCTGACAGTATGGAGCTTGCTTGGAATTCTCTCTCTCCCTCTCTCTCTCCTTCTCCCCTGCTTGCACGCTCTCTCTCTCTCTCTCTCTCTCTCTCTCTCAAAATAAATAAGTAAACTTTTTTTAAAAAAAAGACAATATGGTAAATGATATCATAACTACGATTTGGGCTCAGGAGTCAAACTGTCAAACTTAAGTCTGAGCCCCAGGCCAACATTTCCTAGCTGTAACCCTGGGTAAATGACTAACCTCTTTAAGGTTCAATTTCCTTACCTCTAAATTGTTTCTGATGATTAAAATAATGAGTATGTATTAACATACTGCCCTGCCCTCAATCCATACTCGATATTTATTGCCATTGTTGTCCTTATCATTACCATTGTCAGGGTTATAAGAAGATTATGATAATAGGCAAGGAGACCACAGAGGGAGTCAAGGTGTCACAGAGGAGGGGTTGGACTGGCCATTTTCCAGGTGAAAAAAGTAGGAAGAACATTCTAGTCAGAGGGACCAGTGTGAGCAAAGGCATGAGGTGTGGACAGGGAAGTGCTTCTGTGCAGCTACAAGGTCAGCTACGTGTGTCTGGGGACAGGGTCACCATGGAATTGTCCTAGGCTGTGAGGACTCTGATCACTACCCCGAGAGGATTTAATCAATCCCCTTAATGGAGTGAGCCGGGAATTCTTAAGCTTAAGAGAGACACAAGTAGATAAACTGTGTAGAGAAGAGACTTTTTTCCTGGTGATACACAAAATCCCAAAATTAAAGGGCTCCTGAACCTTCCCTTGCTTTAAAAGTGATGATACCAGCTGATTCCAGCCTGCACCACACAGCAGTTGATTCCTTGATCCGTGTTGGCCCAACCTCCCAGCATATTCCAGGCCACGCATACCTGGGCATCAGGATATAAGATGCAGCACACCCAGCTCTGTAGCCTCCAACTAGGCATTGAGGCCGTGTGGGAGGAGAGGTGAGGAGATGACCCCCAAGGTTTCTTCTAGCTCTTGAGAGCATGACTCTAAATTTAAAGCAGTGGTTGGTTGACTCTAGAGGTAGAGTAGTTGGCAAGGGAGAAAAGAGGCTATGCGTGTAGAGGGTGGTGTGATGGCTGGAGAGGCAGCAGCAATGATGGGGCAGAATGTGCACTGTAGAGAGACCAGGCATGGTTTAGTGATTGAGCTGGAGCTGGAGGGGAAGCAGAAGGGCCAGCAATAACTCAGAGGCTACTTTTGTTGTTCTTGGAGGTTGGAAGAAACAGCAAGTCAAGAGTAAGATTGGATGCACTGGGTTTGGCCTTCGTATAAAAGAAAGAACGGAACTGTGAGGTCTGCTTTGGGTCACGTGGTATATCCACCCTCTCCTCTCAACGCTGAGCAAGGATTGTGGAACTTTGCAATATAAAAGTATGCCAAATTTTCTTTTACCTTTGGTTTCAAATGAGACAACGGTATCTCTGAAAATAAGTATCAGCCTGGATTTCTAGAATCAAAAGCTGGCCAAAGGTAAGAAGGCAGTGAACCAAACTCATGTGACACAATGTCCTGTGTCCTGTCTACTCCACAGCTACTTGCCCTTAACAGAGCTCTGTAAGGGTTACAGTGAATTTTTATATTTGGGGATTTTTGTCTCTTAAAAACTCAAAGGGAAGGGGAATTTTTTTTTTCCCATTGATTTTTCTATTCTGCATTCTTTCAAACCCATGAGAAAAGATTTCTTCTGTAATTAGAAAAAAAGACATACATACACACATTTTTAATGGGTTTGATGGAGCTTCAAAATAAATAAGGAAAATGTTTTTCAAAGCAAGAAAAGTTTAGAAGGAAATGGGGAGAAACACAGATGCTACTACATGCAAGACAGGTGAAACTTGCCATTCGTATTATCCTGTTTGGGCCTCACCACACCTATTGAGATAAATATTCTATACCCTTTTACACACTAGGAAATTGAAGTTAAGGTCCTTTGAAAAACTTGCCAAAGCTTCAGCATCTAATCAGTGGTGGACTGAGTAGTCACACCCATGTTTGCACGACTTCAAAGCCTCCAGCAGCCCCACCATTTACACTAATAATAGAAGAAGGAGAAGACAGCAGATCACTAATAAGGTTGACCTTTGACACAGATTCACAGAAATTAATGCTTTTCTCTCCTGGGTCCCAGTCCTCAGAATCTGGTTGGTTACCAGAGTCACTTTATCATGTCCTTTCTTCCTCCAAATTTCCCCAGGCTCCAGAACTGCTTTTCCTTCTTCACTGACTCATCTGAACTTCAGTTCTGTCCACTTGGAGCTCTGAACTCCAGTTAAGAAGTAAGTAACAAGATTTACTGATGCAACAGTGTAAGAATCTGTGGGCCGTATTCTTACTTTCCTACCTGTGTTTGCGTCATGAAATCTGATAGAACCAAATGACTGTCTCATAGATGAAGTCAAAGACAGTGACAGAAAACAAAATGATGAATTTCAGGTTGAGGAAAGAGAGAGATTTGAGGCCCAGTGAGTTTTTTTAAATAGTTTTATTGACATATAGTTGACATACACTAAACCATTTATATTTAAGGTGCACAATTTGATAGGTTTGAGCATAGGTAGAAATTTGTGAACCATCTCCACACTCAAGATGATAAACTTATTTGTCATGCCCGGAAGGTCCCTCCTGTGGGGTAAGTGAGTTTTTGATTCCCTTAAATTGGACCAGCTCTTACGTAGAGTGGCTCTGGTAACCATAACAGAGCTCCCTGGCATTTTTGTGAACTAAATGTAACTTTACAACCAAGTGCTTTTTAAGCCTGTTCCCAAGTCTGGAAACGATTCTGGGGGGAAAAAAAAAGAAAAGAAAACAATCGCTGGACCTATTTGCAAATAAAAATGATGTGGGGATGATAATCTCCAGAAAATACACAATGCACCTGATAACATAGTCTACACAAGTCCTGGTTAGGAAAATACATTTGTACTTTACATGGGTTAATTGTACACTGGAAAATTCCAACAGAAGTGAGTCCATTGTTTAGGCCCCATGGGCCACACCAGCAGATGTCAAGCTCACAGCCAATGGGGTCAGCAGGGCAGAGCTGAGGAGGCTCCCTATTTCAGACAACTGTACAGATAGCCAAAATCAGAGATTTGGGAAAAATTCAACTCAAGACTGGGGAAGGACCTACCACAAGACTGTTGGTTCCTTAAGGACAGGAAGCATGCTCATTTATTTTGATATTTTTAATAACCTAAATTTCCTAGCACAGGCCTGGAAGTGTTTGTCAGAAGGAAATGCTGAACCACGAATTGGGATACCTATTCAAAATGAAATGTCCTCTGGTTTCACAGACCAAGGGGAGCTCCCAGTGTGACCACTCACAGAAATCCCACCACTCCACAAGTGAGGTGGCAAAGAAACTGCTTAGGCGAAAGGCTGTCACTAGGACCTCCTGGTATTCTGTGGACTTCATGCACTGAGCACCCATCATCGATGGGGGAGAGAGCCAAGCGTACAAGCAGGTGGTGGGGCCTATGCAAGGGGAAGAACACACAACACCACCGCATGCAGGTGGAGCATCTAAACTGTCTTAGGGGGTCAAGGAGAACGTCCCAGACGCTCTGGCCTCCAAGCCTCAACCCAGCTACCTGAAGGAGCACTCTTTTCAAACTGATTGTTAAGTATCTTGTATAACATCAAACTCTACCATTTAGCTTCTTCATCTATAATAATAGATTCACTTCAGGAATGCCTGGGTGGCTCAGTCAGTTAAGCGACCGACTCTGATTTTGGCTCAGGTCATGATCTCACGGTTCGTGAGTTCGAGCCCCATATCGGGCTCTGCACTGACAGCAGGGAGCCTGCTTGGGATTCTCTCTCTTTCCTTCTCTCTCTGCCCCTCCCCTGCTTGCACTCTCTCTCTCTCTCTGTCTCTCCCCCCCCCCCCAAAATAAATAAATAAACTTTCAAAAATTAATAGATTCACTTCAGAAAAGTGAAAAACCAATTTTAGTCTGGAGTAAAGTCACACGTTAAATATATGCCTGGTGAATTACAACATGGGACATGGGCTTGTGAGCTGCCATGGCACCTAAAGATGGATGGGGAGGGTAAGGGTTTCTCAGTAAAATAGATCTGTGTCAAGTTCTGGTATTTATCAGAACACCAACATCTGTCTTAAAATGTGTTCAGAGAATGCTTCGTAGAGAAGAAAAAAGACAACAGAATGGAGAAAGTAGGACGATAGCAAGGGAGAAAGAACAAAGAATAAAACAATGGGTAGAAAACAGAGGAAAAGGCAAGCTTGAGAGAGGAAAGGGTGGGTTGGAGGATAAGGATGAGAGGAAGAGGCCAGAAAATGCTGACAACTGGAGCATAAAGAATCCAGTAGAGAAGTAAAGAGACAATGAAGGTAAAAGGAAGGAGCTGCATTAATGAACACACACTGGGAGAAAAATAAGACAAAGAACAAAGGAACTGAGGGTGTGTGCGTGCAGAGGATGGGAAATCCAAATCTAAGCAGCCTGCCATCTACTGCCCTAAATGGAAGTGTGGAGGTTGGAGGACAAGAGGGCTCGTGCAGATGCAGGGTAAAATCAGTGCCATCTAGAGCCATTTGAGTATCTCTGGGGGAAAATTAGAGGCAGCCAGTTGTGTCACAAGAGCCTGCCCGAGCCATGCTTCTAAGGACACCCTTCTGTATCCTTCACCAACTTAAGACCAGATGGCCAAAAAAGGATAGAGACTTCCAGAAGTCTTCAGGGGCTGGCCCCTTGACACTGCAGCGACATCTCTGCCCCAGCAGATTTTCTTCCATGCATTCAAGCCAATCTCTGGAACAAGTGCCTAATGAGAATTTTTCAAGTGTCCCCATGATAGGAGGACTGCCTAACTTTATCATAAAATATCTTCCTGCTACTCAGATCTTAAAATAGTAAATGTTCCCCTTAAGAATCTTTTTGACTTTTTTTTCATGTGCCATTTCCTCTTTTCTGTCAGAAGACATAAAAGGCATTCCCGGAATTATGGTGGGGTTTATTTGAGAACTGCTTGTGCTGATGCAGACATCATGCTCACCACAGTGGAGTCTGTGTCCCTAAGTCATCAGTACAGACAAGAAACTAATAGCCAGAGGTGAACAATATGGCTGTGTTTGAACAGGAAGGTAATGTGGCTACTGCAATTAAATGGAGGACACTAATCCAATTAATCAGATTTACCAGCTATTATGAGGTCATTGTTGATCAAACCCAAGAGTCTCCTGGGAGACCTTAACGGCTTCAGTTCCCCTCACCCCACCTCCAGGGGGGGGATGGTAAAACATCAAAGATAATATTACATTCTTAAGATCCCATAAAGTTGGTCATCCCATCAGAAGATAGAGCTCTCATTAGACAGAGCCAAAGGGATACGTTTCTGTAATTCACCCCAGTTCATCCCTTTGATTCCATCGCTGTCTCAGGGTGATTAAGGCAATACCCAGAGCTGCCTTCTCTCTAGAATTGTCCAGCCTTTGAAAAGTCCCCTCTAGAGGGGACCTCAGAGACAAGTGAGCAACCCCAACTGAAGAAGACCAAGAATGGCCTGGATAGGCAGAGATAGGACAGGTCAGAGCCAGGCTGACCTCCACCATAAGCCCTTAACAGGGTGTTATTTCTAATGCCTTAAGAGTCTCTCGGGACATTTTTTTTTTTTTTTTTCTGGCAGGATGACAGTAACTCTCAGCGTAATGGCAACTCAGGCTTTATCTGTTGGATTGACTTCCTTTGTCTTAATCCTGTTTGCTCAGTAAGAGTAAGAGGCCAGGACCAAGCAAATCAGGATAGAGACTTCCAAGTTCCCTTCAACTACGAGGCTTTCTGAATGGACAGGAGGGACACTTAACCTCTTTTCTGGGGGCAAGGGAACAGAAGAGCAAAGACCATTAACTCAGAAAAAAATAAACAAAAAACAAGGCATGAGTTGAAGCCTAAATGTATTGTAATTCCATGACAAAAGCTTATGTTTAATCCGCAGTTTATTGAATGCCTTCTAGATACTCTTTAAATAGCTTATTGAGAGTCTAAGTACTTTGAATATATTATATCATTTAGTATTTACTAAAACTCCATAATAGAGATATTATTACATTCAACTTATAGGTGAGGAAACTGAGGCACAGAGAATTTAAATAGCCTGTCCAAGGTCTTACAACCAGTAGGCAGCTGAGCTAGGTTGGCTAGCTGGCTAGGTTGGCTAGGATGGGCTTCTGAGCCCATCACTGTCACATTGCTTCTCTTGGAGAATATCCATATAATATGATTGAGCCTGTCACTTAGGTCCCAGAACGTCTCCCCTATCGCCCTGGACAGCTGCACACGCTTCTGACTCTCACTGGGGGAATTTCTCCCAGTCAGATGCATGCTGGCTGGCCAAATGAAACATGATTGGGAATAATTGTGACATGATATGGTCTGGAATGAAGCGCAGATGGGACTTAAGTGCACAGAAACCCTTTGGGGTCTGATTTCAAGGGAAAGAGACATGGCCATCTTAATGATTTGGCAAGAGGAGGTAGACAGGAAGGGTGACAGCCATGGCTGATGCAGTTGGCAACAGCTAAAAGTGAAAAATACCTCCTGCCTACAATTTTAAGTCATCATTCTCAACATGGCCAGCCCTGGAGCCTGGAGCCTAGAGGGGTCATATGGAAGGGGCAGAAAGGCAAGGCCACAGGGGCCACCTCTTTGGAAGAGTTCTAAATGTGACTGAGACAGACCCACAACATTTCAGACCTTGCATTTCAGACCCGAGCACCATGGAGAAATTGCTGACTCTCTTTGAGCCCTGAGTGGGAGTTAAGTCTCTTCTAATCCTAAAATATTCTCATTTTACCCAGAGCCTTTTTTTTTATTTTTTTAATATGAAATTTATTGTCAAATTGGTTTCCATACAACACCCAGTGCTCATCCCAACAAGTGCCCTCCTCAATGCCCATCACCCACTTTCCCCTCCCTCCCACCCCCCATCAACCCTCAGTTTATTCTCAGTTTTTAAGAGTCTCTTATGGTTTGGCTTTCTCCCTCTCTAACTTTTTTTTTTCCTTCCCCTCCCTCATGGTCTTCTGCTAAGTTTCTCAGGATCCACATAAGAGTGAAAACATATGGTATCTGTCTTTCTCTGTATGACTTATTTCACTTAGCATAACACTCTCCAGTTCTATCCACGTTGCTACAAAAGGCCATATTTCATTCTTTCTCATTGCCATGTAGTACTCCATTGTGTATATAAACCACAATTTCTTTATCCATTCATCAGTTGATGGACATTTCGGCTCTTTCCATAACTTAGCTATTGTTGAAAGTGCTGCTATAAACATTGGGGTACAAGTGCCTCTACACAGAGCCTTTTAAACACTCTACAGAAAGGTATCTTCTCCATGGCAAGTAAAAAACAAAGGTACCTCTTATAAGAAATGGAATAACACAGGGATTCAGTCCAAAGACAGGCATAGATTGGTATCCAGTTTGCCATCCTGAGGGCATAAGGGAATGGGTCTCTTTCTTTCTTTCTCCTGCATATCAGTCAGCATGCCTTTGGCTGCAACTAAGAAAGTACCAATTCAACATACTTAAACAATATGAAAATGTATTTCATACGAAGTCCAGAAGTAGGCCAGCTCCAGAGTCAGTCAGTTCATCCCCCAAAACCCAGCTTCTTTCTATCTCTCCCTTCTGCCATTCTCTGGGGACAGCTTCGTTCTTAGAAGTACGTTTTCCAGAGTGTTATAAAATGGCTGCTATATTTCCAGTGTCATTATCAGACACTACAATGTCTAGTAGAAGAAAAAGTCAGTCTTTTCTGATGCGCTGCTTTTTTAAGAGGAAAAAAACCCCCACAAAACCCTTTTCCAGAAGTCCTTTCATATCTCATTGTCCAGAACTTATTTATATGCCTAATCACAACCAGTCACAGGGAGGAGAGAGATACCACCATGGCTGGCTCTAATCATTCAGGACTAACATAGAAACTTGGGGAGAGGCAGAAACCTGAAGAAAATCAGGACTCCAAAACCAGAAAAGAGCTAGAAGTAACTATGCAGATGATAGTTGTGGCAAAGACAGCTATTTGATTTCCACTACTCATTTTCCTCTTCTTCCTTAACACCATAAGCCCTGGTATTTAATCGGGCAGTTTGCTATCCAGAATAAAGACGACATTTGTCAGCTTTCCATTTTCACCCCTATGCATAGCCATGTCATTAAATTCTGGTTGCTGAGATATAAGCAGAGGGGCTGTATGGAACTTCTGAAATGTTGCTTTCATGTAGCCAACTCAACTTGGAGACCTGCCAACCATATTCCGCTTTCCTCCTTCTTCCAGCCTACAACCCAAATGTGATGGTTGGATCGCCATCGACCATTTTGGATCATAAGTCCACCTAGAGGATGGAATCCACATCCTAGAATACAGTAGAGCAGAAAGACAGGAGCTTAGGCGACTGGTGATTCCATGACCATCAGACCTTCCTTAGACAACCTATCTCCACACTTATGGGAGAGAATGAACTTGTGTATGTGTAAGTCTGTATTTGTCTGATCTGTGGCTTACCACCGGTACCATTCTTAACTGATACAGCAGCCAGCAACAAATGCTGCACCTCAGGAGTTAAATTATGTGGGTTAACTGAGTTGATACTCTCGGTCCGGGAATGCATGAAAGACGTAGACAGTGAGAAATTTAGGAATCAAACGGATCTGAGTGCATTCTGCCTTTGTCACTTACGACCTGTGTGATCACTGGTGAGTGACCTTACTTCTTTGAGCTTAATTCCACCATCTTTACAGATTAAAGCTGGCTATTCTTACTGGCCATGGGAGTTAAATAAGAAAATGTTTGCAAAGCACTTTGTGTTGCAATCATGCATAACAGATCCACAGTAAGTGGTCCTAAATGTTTAGAAGACAAAAATATACCTTTAAGGACTTAGAAATCACCTAGCCCAAACCTCTCACTTTTATACAAGAAGAAACTGAGCATCATAGAGGTGAAATCAGATTCCCAAAGGGTCTCTGAAGTCCCCTGTTGGAAGGCACAGTTATCATGCTTACTCACAAAGGATATTTTCATCATTCTGTGCCCGGCATGGCATCCACATTGCTCATGGCCCTGGGGCCCCAGGACTTCTCTTCTGGACACACTGCCCAGCCCCTGATGAAGGACAGATGCTCAGCCCTGAGCATCAGCCACCGAGATGGTGTTCTTTTCCTGCACTGATATCATCAGTCACATCATGTGGTACTACTTTAATTGCTGTCCTATTTTTGGAAAAATAGATGGCTAAACATAAGCCATTTTTTCTTAGCATTTTTTTGGTTACTGAAGCAAAGTACTCAGTAAATAAGGCCTGATTTGCATGACATTTTGCATGAATAGCGATGTTGAATGAACAAGGTAACAGACTTTGAACTTTTGTAGGCATTCTATTCAATTTTAAAATGATTTTTTTTTTTGTTAATTCCCAGTAGATTTCCACTGACATTAAAATCGACCACAATTTGGGAGGCCTCTGGTGGCTACAATGAGAAAATACAAAAGCAATTATAAGCCTGTGCGTGTTTGTTTAGCTAGGTGAGGTATGCCTTTACTTATGCACATTTGGCTATGCAGATTTTCGAAGCACGGGGACCCGGGTTCCACTCCAAACCCCAGGCAGCATCAAAGTTTTAGGCATTATCAGGGTCTTGCTGGGAGCCAAAGAGGACTCATGCTGTGTTTTCCCAGGTCAGAACTGCTCCAAACAATGCCCACAGAAATTCAAAGGCAAGACAACACTGGAAAGGAGAAATAACCACCAATATTACATTCTAGAGGTAGCAATGTATTCCAGTTTGGGCCTGTGTACTAACTAGATAGCACGCTCCACCTAAAATAACTAAATAAAAGATTTTGGTGTCTTTTCCACAGAGCACAATCCGAATGTCCCATCACTCAAGAAACTTGCCCAGTGTGACTGTTTGTTCACATAACTCACCCCAGGGCATAATTGTACAGCACGGCAGTGATGAATGACTAGGACAGAGCAAATAGAATAGAATAATAATTCTACTCTGGGCTTAAATAATGCTTTTCCTCCCCAGAGGTCTGAGGGTTTTCATATAGATTCAAAGGTAAGGGTAGGTGTTATTATCCCCATTTGTGGATAAGGAAATAAAAATGTTAAGTTGTCTGCTCCGAGACTTAGAATAAAAGCCTATTCAAGGTGAATAATAACCTTTGACATTATCTCTTTTCTCAGATGAAGAAACTGAGGTCAGGGTGGTGATATGACTTTTCCAAGACTGTATCATTAGTGGCCAAATAACACCCCTGACATGGAGCCAGAAACAAACATTAAGCTTCTTGCCAGCCCAGTAAATACCTGCACCATTTTCAAGTCCAGCTTTTCCAGAAACATAGCACCAAAACAGGCTTCCCATCTAGCCAATTGAGGGCCGAGTCTCCCTGGGGTCAGCAGGGTCGTGGTCAGAGATAATGTGTGCTTCCAGAATCCCGGGGTGGGGGAGGTATTTTGCATTAAAAGTAGGTTAACACAGTAGTAACTGGAGAGCTCTCACAGGAGGAAACTTGCCCAAAACTTATATGCAGAAGTCCCCTCTCCATATTATAACAGCATTCAGATTTCCTGCCCAACTCTGTCTTTCCACCATTACCATAGTCGTCCATATCCCATAAAAGATGAGATGCTGCCGAATGTGGGAGGCGTCTCAGTGGATACCTGCCTTCAAGGATTCTCTCCTCTACACGTGCCCCTTGCTTCCTGGGCTTTCCGGCACCATGATATGTGGCCCAGACATCCAGCCCGTGGATAGCCCCATCAGGATCTGGATTCCTCTGAGGATGACGCTCCAGGGTCCTGGCGTGACATGAAGCAGCAATGGCTGGGCATTGCTCTGGGGCTCTTGGGCGGCAAGATGCCGGGGTGGCGGGGGGCAGGGATGAGACGTCACAGGCCGCAGAAGAATGGGCATCGTGCTACACGAGGGAAAGGAGCTGTCATGGCGCCTTCTCTCCGGGCAGCTCTATCAGAACAGTAGACAGAGGTTTGAGAAGAGGTTGCAGCCACACAGAACCCATGCTATCCCTGCCTGTCTTCCTCCCACCAACTTCCTCCACATGCTCTGGCTGCCCTGGGGCAGCTGCCTGCAGTCTGTGGTAAGCTCTGTCTGTTCCTACTGCCAAGAAAAGGTAGAAAACACCTGACCTCCAGCCCCCTGCCCCATGACCCCCACTTACAACCTCCTGATTCGGCCCAAACCCATTGCCCTTGCTTACAAGAGAAAGGAGGGTTGCTCTTGAGGTTACACACCAGGCCTTTTTCTCTCGGATCCAAATGTTCCTCCCAAGGTCCTGCATCAGGAGTAGATCCTACTTAGCAGAAATGGGGATGATAAAGAGTTTTAGTTCTAAATCACAGTATGTTCTCAGATACAAGGGCATGTATGACATCACCAATAATTCAGATATCACATAAATATTTACCACACAAAGCCACTCTCCAGGGGAACAGAAGAGAAATGATGAGGTACATGGAGACGTCAACTGAATTCTTTCACCCTGCTAGCGAGTGCTCGGGTCAGCTCACCCCAGTTTGGTGCCTTTGATCCCCGGGTAAGCTTCCTCAACAGGGGATTTTGTCAAACTTCTTAGGAACGTGTAGCTTTTGTGTGGGATGCCCTTGACCTCTGAACTTCGGTGACGTGTGCAGCGACTATGTCCCCCACCCCATGTCCAGGTTCCCACCCAGCAGTCAGCCACAGCAGCGCTGGCACGCACACAGCCCAGTGCTCAGTTCTGGGTTTCTCGGGGACCGAACACGTAAGCGGACGTTCATGGACCCAGACACCTGCTTTCCCTTCCTCTCCCTCCTGCTGTCCACACTTGGGCCACTTCCCTGCTTCTTAGCACTTCAGACGGAGGACGTGAAGGAGTAAACGTGAAAATCTGACAACTCGATTTTGCCGTTTTCCGGAAGCAACGGCGAAACATGAGTTGCCAAACAAGGCAAAACCACTAGCTATTGAAATCTGTAGATTTCAGTTGCCTTTATTTCCTCACAGATAAGTGAGAACTGACAATAAAGTTATTTTCTCTTCAACTTTCTTCCGGAAAAAAAAAAAAATTATTTCTGATGCCAGCTTCATGGGGGTGGACCAGGACCCATAAAAAACCCACGGCTTCTGGCAAGCACCAAGAACTCGAAGCTTGGGGAGTGAGGCCACAGACCAAAGACAATCCCCAAAGGTCTCTGGGGCCACAGGGAGGCTGGGCCCACCTCACCCTTCTCAGTGTGGGTCCATGGCATCCAACGTCAGCCCCAGCCCACTCTTGCCATACAGGCTTCACCCCCTCCCCCTCACCTGATCACACTGGCCTCTCACTGCCCCTGATCACGCCTCCCCCTCCCCTGCCCTCACCCCCTCTTCCCGCTAGGCCTCTGTCTGAACGTCCTTTCCCGAATCCAAGCCTTCAGGGCCTGGCTCAAGTCCAAGAGCACCGCGAAGACCTCAAGACAATGCCGGTCGGTCAGCACTGCTTTGAGCCCTCCACCACGACCCCATCTTTCCTCTGGGCGCGTCCTGTGGGCAAGTCCTGTCACCCTCAGGAAGCTCAGACGGGCGCCAAGGGGAAGAGTAGCAGGAGCCCTGTGCTTGGGCCGGGCCCAGCCTGCTGCAAACCCAGTCTCTGTCATCTCCTCAAGTGAAGCCCGCCTCGGTGTCCTCTTCTGTAAAATGAGACTTGAAATAGAATCTACCTTCTCGATTTATTTTGAAACCGAAATGAGAGAAGACTTTAAAGCACTTGGCACAGGGCCAGGCAAAAAGTAAGTTCTGGGAGCATGGCGGCTAGGAGCATCGCTGGCAACGTCCCTACCACCCCAGTCACAGCACAATGCCTGGTGGGCCACCACTGGCGGCACATCGTGCCAGGAGACGCCCAGGGTTTTGTGGCTTGTGCCTTGGTGCCTAGGGTTTTGAGTACACCATCTCTCAGGTGTTTGCACGATTCCTCCCTCCCGGCAAGATGCAGACTCCCCTTCAGGACTCAGGAGCACAATTCGCCCTTAGTGATCCAGGACCACGCTGTTACTGGTCCAGCTCAGACCCCCTTAGGCTGACTTCATCTCAGGAGAGCCTTGACTCTCCTGCAAATAGATCACCAGGAGACTTCGGAATTTTAGATATTCCCAGACCTGTCAGAGTCTTTAGACTTAAGGCAGGCATCTCCTCCCACTTCAGTTACAATTAGAATTCAATTACACGCCCTTCAAAATTGACAGTTCACAGCTCTGGAACGTTAGGAAAAACGACCACTGCCACCGCTCTGCCCTCCCTCCACACCTCCCCCTACCTCCTTTCTCTTCTTTCCCAGCGTCTGCGGGCTGCCTGCTGCTGCCCTGACCGCCCCAGGCTGGCGACCCCTCCCTCCCAGACGGGCTTTGCAGACAGCGCCACCTTCTGGACGCAGACTCAGTTGCACCTTCCCCTTCCAGGAGAAGGGGTTGCATGTAGGCCAGGAGCCCGCCTAGGGTGAACGGTCCTTAACCTCCTGGTAACGCTGCATTAACTGAACAGTTCTGTTGCAGTTCTGAAATAGTTAATATTTTCCTTTTTAAAAATTTTTTAAAGTTTATTTATTTTGAGAGAGAGAGAGAAAGAGAGAGCAGGGGAGGGGCAGAGAGAGAGAGAGAGAGAGAATCCCAAGCAGGCTCTGCACTATCAGCAGGGAGCCTGATGCGGGGCTTGAACTCACAAACCATGAGCTCATGACCTAGGCTGAAACTAAGAGTGGGACGCTTAACTGACTGAGCCACCCAGGTGCCCCCATATTTTCCTTTTAAAAAGCAAGGAGCAAGGAGAGGGGCCCCTGGGTGGCTCAGTCAGTTAAGCACCCGGCTTCAGCTCAGGTCATGACCTCGCAGTTTGTGGGTTTGAGCCCCACGTCCTGCTCTGTGCTGACACCTCAAAGCCTGTAGCCTGCTTTGGATTCTGTGTCTCCCTCTCTCTACCCCTCCCCAGCTCATGCTCTGTCTCTCTCTCAAAAATAAATAAACATTTAAAAAAAAATTTTTTTTAAAGCAAGGAGATACACATTGTAAGAGAAGAATGAAGGGCCAAATGTAAACAAGGCCTATAAACTAGGGAAAATAAATTCCATTTTAGGCAGTCTTTTACCTTAAAAATGTGAAGTGTTAACAGTGATGACTGCACATTTACATTTCTTTTTTCTTTTTTTTTTTTTCTCTTAAGCAACTTCCATGGGAAAGTGTCAGCTTTAGAATTTGACATAATGGTATATCTTTTTGCACTGGTATAAACATAATTACTGGTCTAGAGACCTTTCCTAACGAAGAGACAAAAGGACATTACCCCTCCTAGCGATGTCTGGAAGTAGATTTGGGCTCCTCCTCTCCTAACAGAACTTGCCACGATAGAAAAACATCTTTTTAAAAAAAGTTTTTGAAGTTTATTTATTTTGAGGGAGGCGGGGGAGAGGGGGAGGGAGGGAGGGAGAGAACCCCAAGCAAGCTCTGCACTGTCGGTGCAGATCCTGATGTGGGGCTTGAACTCACGCACCACGAGATCGTGACCTGAGCCAAAATCAAGAGTTGGATGCTTAACTGACTAACCCACCCAAGCGCCCCCTAGAAAAAACATTTTATGGACAATGGATCTCACTTCTCTTTGGGTCTCAGGGAAAAAGTGCAGGATGGTATCCTAGCTCCCCTGTTAGCCCACAATTCCTACATGAGAGTAAATCACCTTAAAGGAAGGCAAGTTCTTTCTGTCTGAAAGGGCAATTCTTAATTGCAGTTTTCCCCTTAGCGATGTCGAATTTATTATTTGTACTGTCATGCTTTGTATATAAGTAAGTAATTATATTATTGGCGATTTTAAATCATCAAAATAAATAACAGCAACTAACAGAGCACTGGGCGGCTCAGTCCGGTGAGCACCTGACTTCAGCTCAGGTCACGATCTCATGGTTCGTGGGTTTGAGACCATGTCTACTTGTTCTGGCTGCATGGAGCCTGCTTAGGATTCTCTCTCTCTCCCTCTCTCTCTCTCTCTCTCTCAAAATAAATAAATAAACTTAAATAAATTAATTAATTAATAATAGCAACTAACACTTTACGGAGCGCTTACTAAAATATATTACTCTAAAATCCGTATCTACCTTAGTTTGTTTCATTCTTACAGCAATTCGACATGATAGCACTATCAATAGCCCCATTTTAAAAACAGGGAAACTGAGAGACAGAATTAAATCGCCCAAAGTCACACACAGCCAGCATTTGAACCTAGAAGTTTAGCTCCAGAAGCTATAAGTTTAACCATGACTGCATTCTGCCTTATAGTAGATCAGCAGCTCCAAGGTGACCACCGCCAGTGAAATTTCCAGGGGGGGGGGGGGGGGGGAGAGCCATCATTCTATCTCCATAGCTCTTTCTTGCCCTCTACTTTTTTATTCATTCATCCATTTATCCATCCGCAGTCCTTAAACATATTAGTTAAGCAGATAAAATTACAGATAGAGAAACAAAGACATAGAGATAGAGACGAGAGAGTGAGAGAGAGAGACAGAGTGGGAATGTGAGGCAAGAGACAGAAGATAGACAACAGATGAGAAGATTTTGACAGAATTCTTAACCTGGCGTCTATGGGATCCCTGAACTCCCTGAGATTATATTCAAAGTGTCCCCTGTATGTGTATTTTTTCTGGGGGAAGAGTCCTTAGTTTTCTAAAGATCGTCAAAGGTGCCTGTTTCCCCAAAAAGATTAGGAATTACCAATAGCAATAAAGAACACAATGGTACACACACCAACCATCTCTCTCTCTCTCTCTCTCTCTCTCTTCATATGGGACCATCTACACAGTCTACATTTTCTCTTTTGGTCAAAAAGTGAAAGAAGATAAAAGGAAATCCTAGAACATTGAGAGAGCTCGAGACTACCTTTAGAACTCATTAACATGTTCTTAGTTACTTTCAACAGTTAATGCAGTATGTGCTAGATATTACTTCAAACATACATAAGGAAGAGAGAAGGAGGACCAGTTTTTACTAAGTACTTACTACATGCTTGGCACTTAATTTTTCTAACGCTGTTGTAGGGATTATTGTTGTTGTTCTCATAGGATTGATTTTTTTTTTTAAGGTACAAGTTTTTGAGACCGTACAAATCACACCCAAGTTCAGGCAGTTAGCAAGGGGCCTGTCCACATGAGTTAAAGGCAAATCTACCTGAAGCTATAAACCTTGTTCTTCCCTCTGCTTCATTCTGTCCTGAGAAAAGCAGGAAGGGCTAATCACTGGATGCATCTCTAATAACCTTGGCAAACCTTTCCAGGGTCAGTCAAAATGAATATGGGTATGTGTGTGCATGTGTTCTTGGGACAAGGTGACCAAGCTCTATTGCATCTCTGATGCAACACATATTCAGAAAAGAAGCCCATTATTTGGAGATTAAATAATTTAATGGTGCTATTATTTCTAGCTTCTGAATCCTTCCGTTAATTCATCATCTTATTCCTGAGCAGCTCTATACTAGGCATTGGGTAGGGCCTAGCATATCGACTTGTAATATCATCTCCAATAGTCCCCACAGTCCCTGTCCTCAGAAAGCCCAATGTCTAACAGAGACCACAGGCATGTGATCAAATCTTAATCATACTGTGGAATATAGTTTAAAATACAAGAATGTGCTGAGTCCGGTGGCAGAACAGAGAAGAAGAAAGATGTTTAGGCTGAACCTCAAAAAATTAGGAG